TATATATATATATATATATATATATGCATTCTACAATGTTTGTCGTTGATACACATATGTTTGGTATGGATGGATCAGATTGCACGGCACAACGATATGGCTATTGGATCGGGTTGCACTCCGCAACTTTATTTTTATGGGATCAGGTTGCTCGCCGCAACGGATATGATATCTTGTGCTTATTTTTTCTGTATTACTTCTCCCTTGTGGAATTGGTTCATAAGGTTATGCTTATGTTGTTATATCCGTGAAATTTGTTTATTAGTTCTCTTATTTGATCCCTTTTATTACTTAGCGCCTTTTCTCTTGTTTTGTTTTCTGTTTATTACTTGCACCGGCTTATAAAGTAAGTGTCATGTCTTAGCCTCGTCACTACTTCGTTGAGGTTAGGCTCGATACTTACTGAGTACATTGGGTCGGATATACGCATGCTACACTTCTGCATTTCTTATGCAGATTAGTTATTGGTACCAGCGGAGTTCATAGAGGTGGTTAGCTGTGGACATTGCAGACTCGAGGTAGTGTTGCATATCCGTTTGCGGGCCTTGGAGTTCCCTTCCTTATCTTTATTACTGTTACTTGATTTGAACAATATTGTATTTACTTCAAACCTTTGTATTTAGCACTCAGTAGAACTCATGTACTTGGTGACACCATTTCTGGGGGTTGTATGTTGTTCCGTACTTTTACTTCAATATAAGATTTATTATCTATGGCATAAACCTAATTTAGCAAATTGTTATAATTCTTACTATTGTTATTGAATATTTGGTAGTTGTAACTGCTGATCGTGTAGCCAGTGTATTAGATGTCATCACGATCTTTGGTGGGATTTTGGGTCGTGACAGTAATCCAGCTCCTTGATTCTTCAAAGTTCGCCTCGGAAATTAGTGAAGAACGCTTTACATTTTGTATTTTGTTTAAGGAAGTGGGTTGATTGTCTTGGCTAAGTTGAAGAAACTCAAAAGCTCATAATTTCACGGTTCATTTCTCTCGGTTCTTCTTATTTTTCAAAATTTCAGCTGCTTTTATTATATTAGAAAGCAGAATTCTATCATAGACTATCAAAATTTTCATTAGTTTAGTCTAGCTACTAAGAGTTACACTAATAATTTTTTTTAATAACCGAGAAATCCCCGAGGCTAGTGGTGCAATGTTCGAAATTCGGTGGATAATGGGTCCTCTCTACTCTTCTCACTTAAATACCATGCTTTTGTCTGCAACATGGATCGAACACGTGATATGTGCCTAACCCATGCATCACGTATTGTGCTCTTACCACTAGACCAAAGCATCTGGGCTATTCACACTATGTTTCTTTTAAGCTAAATGCTTTAAATGAATCTTATGGTAAGCTAAGGAGCAGTTGTGTTCCGCATCGTGGAAGATCGTTAAAGCCTTAATGTCTCATATGAACTTGCTAAGTTGAAGGAAAATATAACTTCACATTCATTTGAGTTTTTATCTCATAGTTTCCAACTCAACATTCAAGCAAATTACCAATGGCAAAAATTGTTGGGCAATGCATAATATTATATTGTAATGAAAATTGCATCTAAGCACAGACAACCTCATTTCAAAGGCAACCTCACGACTTCTCCTATTACTTTATCATACAAGCATTCTTAATTCGATGATCCTTCTTAATAACATAGCTAAGTTGCTACTTATTCACACAGTTCTAGCTAGTTCATTAACTTGATTTCAATTAATACCAAATAGCATGTGCCAATGGGCTATATAGCACTAGAAAAAGATAATCCTGCCATCATCAGATTTACACTTTGGAAGACAAAATACCAACTCAGGCTAGTTATGTAATCCCCAAAATTTCCCAAGTCCTAAATCTTCAAATTTAATAAGTAATATAGTCATCCAAATCTAAATAGGTGCAAAACTAGTGTATTATCATTTTCACTTACCTCAGAGATGGGCTGTTGTATCACTGATTCAACAGCAACAACCATAGCCTGCACAAAATCATCACCTCCAGTACCAATAGCTGTAAATCCTCTTTCAGTAGGGTAAGAATTCACCTGTCAAGTAAAAAATAAATATTGCAAAATGAAGAAAGGGTTGTATCCATTTAGGAAAACGCACCTTTTTATCGAGAGCAAGCCACTCATTAGTAGCATCATCCTGCACTGTGCCTCCAATTATGACATTCGTTGTTTGTCCAACCCTCCCTTCACTCTTGGACACTTCTAATAAATTCAAAAATAATTTCAATGTAAGTTAAACATCTATCTTGTATTACTAAATTAAAAGAAAAAAGATAGAATTTGGGTTGACCTGAGATGGCCTTAAGGACAGCTTCTTGAGGAGGACCTTGTTCAGAGTCACCCTCAGATGCCAATGGGCTTTTATTGTTAGAGCACTTCAGATACTGACTTCTTTTATAATTTTGGGAATTGATGAAATTACAGCCACATCTTATTAAATTGGTTTTGGTGCATTTCTGAGTATGAAAAAATGCCCAAGTTGATTTCCGGGGAAGAGGTCTCCATGTTTCCGTCAGGAAAATGCTTCCGAGATTCCCACACGCCATTTTGTTGGTGGTCTTTGTCTCTTATCTTGATATATACTATATATCTGAGAGCTTTATTCTCTGTGTTGCAAAGAAATGACACCACATAACGGCTTGTTCTGGCACGTTTAAAGCATAGCCGCTTTTTAAAAACTATTTAAAATTTAGTCATCAGTGACACACTACTATAGGGGTGTCAAACCGGTCGAGTCGGGTCGGGCATGAACAGGTCGAAAATGGGTAATTTAAAAACGAATAAGTTATCCAACCCGATCCGTATTTAAAACGGATAAAAACGGGTTATCCGGCGGATAATATGGATATCATATTATCCATGGCTTCTTGAATATGAGTACGTTTGGGAGAATTCCTAATCTCCCAAACTTGAGGAACCCCAATTTGAGGCTTTACAAATGTAAATGCTAAACCCATTAGTTATCCATTTTCTAAGTGGATAATATGGTTCTTATCCATATTCGATCCGTTTTTAAAAAGTTCATTATCCAACTCACTTTTTAATGAATAACTATTTTCTTTTAACCATTTTGCCACCCTTAGTCGTCACTATGTAGAATTTTTGGATAAACATAACCCTAACTTAACACCAATAACTTTAGACCATCCTATGCCAGATGACAACTTCAAATATGAAGGTTTGAAGTTTGAAGACCTAAACTTAAAATCAAAACTTTAGACTGTCTTGGTTTTAACTACTCATATTTTAAACCTTCAGTTCTGGGCAAAGCTTTACTAACATTAATGTTTATGCGCTCTTGTTATGAGACAAACACAAAAGTTAAGCCTACAAATTAAAATTTCTACTTCAAGATTGGTTGAGGCTGTATCTTTGCCTTCAGACTGTTTTGTTTCATGCTGCTTCTTATTATTACCATCTTATGGACACAATAGAAACTAAAAAGTGTCTCGACCCGTTTCTGATCAAGTTACCATCGGCATACGGTGCCCTAACTTGACTGAGCAAACCAACATGACTATTCTAACCTGCACTTTCTTATTAAATTTTCCATTTTGCATTTATAATAAGCAACTTAACTTAAAAAATTCTTAGTTAATCAAAATTAACAATCTTCGGATAACTGAAAAGACTAAAAATAAAGTTTGAGTACTGTGATAATCCATAATCAAACTAAACCAAGTCTATGAATTCTCTACAAAAGTACTTTGTGTGCTGCTCAGGCATAGAGTTCCTGGCTAATCCTCAAAATAAATACTAAATAAAATAACTAACTTCCTGAATAATAAGGAAGGAAAAATCAACGGTCAAAAGCAGAGCTTACCAAATCATTAGTGGAAGGAAGCAACATATCAGGTAGTCTTCTCGTTAACAAAAGCACTTATATTGACATATTGACTAAGTCGCAATGAACCTCAGCTATGAAATCAATATATTTTATGCGTTTCCTCTTGTTGGCCCATCTCATGTTCTTGCATGCGAGACAAAGCTTAGATACTAGCCAACCTCCATTTGAGCATATATCTTTTTCTCGCATTGGCTCGAGCGGATGGCTTGCAAGCCCATAGATATCATTTATCTGCTCCCATCCAAATCTCATTATCTTGCCCCTTATGGTAAGTTCTAGGTTGTCGAAGTTTGTATGCTTAAGGTAGGCATAAAACCCTCTAACCCATTCCTCATTAGCAACGCACGGAGTGGTCATGAAGCACGTCCAATGATGATAGGCTATAATTGCGTATTTTAGTCACTTATTGCACTCTAATTTGCTACACTTTAATTGTGTTTGAACTTTAATTGTTAGTGTTTTGCACTTATTGTGTATTTTATGCCTTGTAGGAGCAATTCCGACTTATGTAGATGTTATGGAGCTAATTCAAGTTATTTGGAGCTTTGAAGTGCGAGTAAAAACCCAAGGGATTAAGCCGGGATCGTGTTCGCGGGTCGAGGATCAATTCTGGACGTCAAAATTCAAGGAAGAAGCAACTGCTGAAGAAATGCACTAGTGCGAGGGTCGCACAGTGCGACGCATTAGTGTAATTTTATGTCAGAATTTTCCAAAGTTCAGAGACTGAGTTTTTTGGTCTGACATGAAAAAGCACTAGTGCGACGCATGAAAAGTAATAAGTGTGCAAGTTTTCCTATTTCGGCTAGGAAAGGGAGATTTCGTCTAGGCCCAACCCAACTTGGTATAAATACATGTAAAAACGTTATTTTGAGAGACTTTTGACATACCTTAGACCTAAGGAGACTATTTTGGAAGGAGACAAGACGTTGGAAACATTCTTTGGAGGAGAAAATCATCGAGTTCTTCAGTCCTTCATCTTTTCTTTATAATGTGTTTATGCAAAATACTTGAAAAGTTGTTACTACGAACATAAGTGGCTAAGCACTCTAGTTTCTAGTGTTGTGGTTGACATGATTATTAACGTTTATTAATTATATCTTCGTTAACTCGGATTATCATCTTGTCGTTGTTTTTTTAATTCTAGTTTCAACTTGTAAATTGTTGTAGCTACCAATTCACTCTACTATCTATGCTATGCTTGGGAAAGTCGTGTTTAGATTAGAGTAGAATTAAATAGAGCTTGTTTCTGAACCCGTGGCTCGGAAAAAAATTTCGCATTTAGGATAGGAATATACCTAGCAGTCTTGCTTAGTTGAATATCGTATTATATTCGTTCATGATAAACTCAATACCATAGGAATATAGGATTGATATATTGTGGGCAGGCGAGTAGAATTGTGGGAACATGTTATTCATATAAACGATCCGGTTAATTAGCAACCATACATAATCTGGAATTATTGAACTTAATAGGATTGATAAACCAACCACAACCCTGGAATTTTCATCTCCTCTGAATTAAAATCTCATCATACACATTTGCATTCTTGATAAATTAGTTGTTACTTGTTTAATTTCCGCAATAGTAGATTAATAGAATAACATCACTCTTGATTATCTTGGACAATTAACTGATTTTAGTTTGCTGAGTTAACGATTGATCTAAGTCTCTGTGAGTTCGACATCCAACTTTCAAGTCACTTTATTACTTGACGGCCACTTATACTTGCGTGTACTTAGGGAACCAACATCTAACTTGTGGTCTCTAGATGGCCATAGAAGTCTAGGAGTAGCTCGGCCAATCTTTCCTCGAAAATTTCCTTTTCAAGTAGGACCCTCTTTATAAGAAGGTTGTCATGGTACTGGCGATGGCAATTAGCGTACATGAATCTAACAGTATTATATTGCTCTTCTGCAAACTCTTCTTCATTTTCATGGCCATGTGTCGTATTTTCATTCATGTTAGGAATCATTTTCAAGGCTCAAAGTACCTAAAAAATAAAAACCAAATTAGCCGAGCTTTAAAATCGTATTAAGCAATTTAAAACACTGCAATTTAGTCAAAGAATCAAACGGAATAGGCCCAGCAAGCCTTAGTTTCAAATCTACTATTTTGCAGAATTTTTACACAGCCATTGCACTTGCAGAAAAACAAGCGCAGGTGCAGAAATACTTCTGCGGAAAAAGTTCCGCTTCTGCGATGCTTCATTGTTCAACAGAGTTTTGCACCTGCATAATTATCAACGTAGGTGCGGTGTCACATCTAAGGCATTTTTTTTTTTGCAGAAGCGATGTTCTTCAAGTTTTTAAAATCCCAGAAAACTGCCGATTTTGTTTCCACCTCAATCATGATTTTGGAACAAATTTATACTCAAGACTTATAAACTTGTGCATACATGAATAAGAGACTTGATTACTGTCATGGGCGGCCTTCCAACTATGCCCCATGACCCCTTCGACGCGCTCCGTGGCATCTTGGCCAGCTTCCCAATGCCCGTCACCATGGTCGGCCCCGTGATCTCGGTAGCTCCAAGTGACAAGCGCGCATGTGCCTCTGTCGCCCAACGATAGCCATCGCCAGCGCCCAGCCACAGGCAGATGCTAACAGCGCCGTGCGCGCAGACCCTAATGCTAAAGATAAAGTTGCTGCCAACGAACTTGTTTCTGCTTTGTAGAAGACTAAGTCATTTTCATTGTAAATATAGAGTAGTTTTATTGTATTTTCTTTAAGTGTGATTTTCCAGCTTTCATAGGTCTAGTGATGTAATTTTGGTTTATTTTTTTTAAGCAATATTAGGGGGGACCAAGCAAGCAAACAATTCTTTGTACTAGTGTCTCTCCCCCCGACACCGTGTTGTTTTTCTGTAATAGCGTTTATTCAATGCAATCAAGCTTTCTTTCATTCTCAATTCTCTTTTCTGCTCTCTCTTTCAATTGATCACGACATTGGTTTTCCCGTACGGCACTGACAATCTAGTCTAGCGTACGGAGGGGACCTCAGTTTGCGAACAGCAATCGCACTGACATCGGTTGCTTAGCCTTACGTCGCCCTTCCAAGGAACTTCAAGAAGGCGCCGCGTAACAGTTGGTATCAGAGCCTAGGCTCGACATCGGACGAGGGATTATATTGCAATTACCACCATTTCTGACCATGGTGAATTATGGGGATCGCATCACGACCCTTGAGGGAACGATTGACGCATTACGGCCCATCGTGGAAATGGTGCCTGACCTAAAGACCATCCTAGTGCAAAGGTTGGACGACCTGAACTATAGACTGATCCAGGCCGAATATGATATAGAAAACATCAGTCGCGACTCTGAAGGAGACCGGCAAACGGCAGCCACAAAGGCAGCCAAAACTTTTGGTAAATTTGAGGTCCTCCAACAGGAGCGCGCCGAGGATTTAGCCAACATGGAACAAGAGGCATACAGGGTGACTGCCATGCAACAAACTATAGACAACTTGACAGGCCAGCTCAACGTTGTCAATGCTGCTTTACAAGGCCTGCTTCGAGGAGGTGGAAACCAAATCGGGGGTATTGTTAACCTCACCCCTGTGGCCCAAAAACTAAAAATTCCTGATACAAAGCCATACAGTGGAGCTCGGAATGCCAAAGAAGTGGAAAAATCTTCGACATCGAACAATACTTCAATATTGTGGGGGGCCTAGAAGAAGCTAAGAAGGTAGCAACTGCTGCCATGTATCTTCAGGGTGATGCCAAACTCTGGTGGCGAGTGAAATACGAAGCCATCAAGGCTGGTAAAGATGC